CAGATGCAAAAGGTTTCGTTCCGATCGGTCAACCCAGTTAGGCGTAATCGGCGATCATACATAGAAAAAGAAAAAAATTGCCGGTTGTTTTGCAATAACAACACTTTGCAATTAAAAAATGAAAAAGTTTTTGATAATGGTACCAATGGGGAGTCAGAACCTAACAGATGCAAAAGGTTTCGTTCCGATCGGTCCATCCAGCTAGGCGTAATCGGCGGGCACCCATAGAAAAAAAAAAAAAAAAAAAAAAAAATACTGATCGAATTGAGTAACCTCCTCCTTTTTCGAAGTCGGTTAAAAAATTATGCAAGTATACTGTTATGTTGTAATTCAATTGAATTTAATGAAAACGCGAACTAGTTTAATATCTGGATTAGTGACACCACTCGGGCACAAAGTGAATGAACAACTGCTTCAGGATAAATATGCACAATTTACTTATAAGTTTACTTGTTGCACTTTGAAAGAATACTTTGTTGCTACGGTTTCTAAAATTTTGTACTTAACTCGTTGAGAGCTGACGAGAGGAATCTCAACCATCTAAAAAGAATATTTTCGTAAAAAATTTAAATATGGAGTGAGATCGACATACTGCCGGGGACGAACACGCGATTGGTTAAAAAAATATTAAGAGAAGGGATTAAAAACCGCGCGTACAAAATGTTCGTACTTAGGTCCAGTTTGACATGAAATAAAAACTACAACATCGCTTGTCACCTAAAGATTCGACAGTATTAAAGCCATAAAGTTTGCTGGGTTTCAAAAAAACATGCTAAATAGAAAAATTTGGATATAAAAATTGCACGTAATAAACAGATGCAAAAGTAGCTGTTGTTTTTTTCAAGAATATTCCAAGGATAAAAAATAGACCTGACGGTTTTACGATTTTAAGAGTGCGCCACAACACACTTTGTTTTCTAAATACAATAATTTCGTTGGAATTAGGAGAAAACCATGTCAAGCTATTCTGGGTACTTATATGGTTATTTAAATGAAATGATACTTCGTTGCTGAAGGGCAGTTATAACTGCATGCTATAAAAATCGCTGAAAAACATCAACTTCGTTCAACGATGACTACGTTAAAAAAGTGTTATGGTAAATTCCAAATGCCCGCGTTACGGGCCACCATATTGTTCTTTCTTTTGTTTCTGACTTCGCGCGGGATTGGGGGTCTCGTTACGCGGACAAGAGAGTGTCGTCGTGAAGGTGTGCGACTTCAGGGAGAGCAAAGAGTCATGTACGACGTGTGCATAACGTTTTCTTTTCTGTAACGCGATTAAGCGACCCACATTAAAATAAACCACTTACTTAGTAAACTTCTTGTATTTAATCAAATACACAACAAGAAGAAATGGCGACGAGGATGGAATCCTAATGAGGAAAAAGTACGTCAAGAAAAGGATCACGAAGATCGCTAACCTCACTTACAAATTGCGCCACGTGGCTCAAGGGTACGCTTTATACTACGCATTACATTACGTATTACATTACGCAATTATATTACGCATTATAATTTTTCTTTGCATTGTTCGAAATTTTATCGATCATAAATCGCAACGAGCACAAATTACACGATGGTTGAATCACGTGTACAGGCGATTTTTAATATTGAACCATTCGAGCCATCCATGAGCTGGGAGCGATGGGTCAAGCGATTGGAAGGCGCGTTTAAACTTTTCAAAGTGGTGGAGGATGACAAAGTCCCGTATTTACTGCACTACATTGGGGCATCGGCTTTCGACGTAATAAGCAATAAGTGTGCGCCCGACGACCCATACACTAGAAACTACCGAGACTTGGTTCAGTTGCTCGGACAATTCTACGCTCCGGCACCACTTGAAATTGCAGAAAATTTCCGTTTCCATCAACGGCGTCAAAAAGAAGGAGAAAGCATACTGCAATACGTCGCGGCGTTGCAAAAATTAAGCTTAAATTGCAATTTCGATACTTACTTAAAAACGGCGTTACGTAACCAATTTGTTTTTGGCATTGCAAGTACAAGGATCCAGTCAAGGTTACTTGAGACAAAAAAATTGACCTTCGACCATGCCGTGGAGCTGGCAACAAGCATGGAGATGTCGGCAAAGGACACGGATCAACTACAAGGCTCAACAGCGGCAGTTCAAATAGCAGATACCAGGAAATTCCAAAAACGTCCACCAACAAGCCAGCCCAAGCACGCAAAGAATACGCATCAGCCACGTTCGACACCCGCCGCGACATATTCTAATAATCGTAATAACTCTAAGTTTACCGATAATAAAAGCATTTCATGTTTTAGGTGTGGATTCGAGGTCATCTTCAATCAGTCTGTTTTAAGAATAAAGGACCAACACACAATGTTGGGGAAATTTTATACAATGCGGCCGACGAAGGCATAACACAGTTAGAACAGGCAAAATACCGAAATAAATTTCTTACTACACTTCAGGTAAACGATAAATTTTTAAAATTCGAAGTAGACAGCGGAGCGGCTGTTACACTTGCTAGTAAAGCCTACATGCTTAGGTTGTTTCCAAGTTCGATCATACATCCGACTACACTTAAGTTAATTACATATTGTAAGAGCACATGTAACAACCCTGAGACCTAAGTTCAGTTTATTACAAGCGTTAAAAGGTAAAGAGCGTCTTTTACCCCTAAACGACTCGATTTTACAAATAAAGATTGTGGGATTCGTGTGGTGTGCGGTTAAGGAGTGAAATCCACAGGTCAAAATCTTTCAACAATTAGATTTATTCAATGAAACGATAAGAAAATGAAACTAACAATTAACAATAACAATTGTTAAATTATTAATAAATTTAGCATATAGCGACATCTTACAGTATTAGAAATGATGTGCGATGTTAGTAACAGAATAATTGAATATTAGAAACAGAATAATTGAATATTGTACTTCCGTCTTGTCGTTATGAAAATGTAAGTGTTCGTGATGTTTTATTTGAAGAAAAAGTAATTCCTGTTTAAATGGTTAATCTTTAAGTTAAAATGTTTGTTGTTTGTGTTTTATATTAAATAATTTGTTCGTGTTCAAAAGTGTATTATTAGTTTTGTTATTTTCCATAATTCTGATTATTTAACAACAACAAATAAAGAAATATATATATAAATGATAAATGATTGATTAGTATAAAGAACTAAATAGATCTTGAAATAATATAGAAATTGATAAATTAAACAATATGTAATAGATAATTATGAATTTAATGATATGAGACTCGCTGGTCAGTACTTAATATTGGACCGTATCTAAATTAACTTCGCATTTGTAATATTAACTAAATTTGATATTCCTTATATATATATATACAGTGGGTAACAAAAGTAAGTAAACACTTTGAGCTTGTAGCAAAAAACTATTTAGGTCAAAGCAAATATGTAACTTTAAAAGACAAATTGTATATCTAGTGAAACTACATGAAATAATCTATACAATTATGCTGATAAAATGTTCATTAGTGCTGGATTTCCTCGTAAAAAATAATAAAGATTCGCGGTATGCAACGAATACACGTTCCAAAAGTAAGTAAACACGACCGACATTGCTCGATAACTTTTTAATACTTGCAATTTTGCAATTTATCTGTAAATAACTCTTATAGATTATTTCATGCTGAATCTGAATTCGCAAACCGTTCCTTTGTAGCGGTTATCGTTTTCGAGAAAATTTGATTTAAAGGAAAATTGTAAGTTTTCAACTTTGGAAATGTTTCACAGTCTTATAGTTGCTTCTATTCATTTTGTTTTTATACCAAACTATTCTGCAAATTATCTTGAATAAAATGATAGGAATTGTGATAATATTATAATTATTTAATTATGTTTAAATGCCAATGAAAGTGAAGAAGAAACCCAAGACTCGCCGATGTCTGCTGATGTTTTTTAATTTATTTCAACGACTGAGAGTTTCAGAACAAATCTAATCAGATCAAACGAAACAGTAAATATTACAGTTGAAGAAGGTACTCAAGAAAGATAACAAATCGTGTTATGCTTTGAGTACATGTGTCAAACGTTTCGGAAAATTATTAGCACGAAATCCGAAAAACGCTCGTACAAAAAAAATGACCGTCTGTGATGAGTATCACTGCCGTTGCTATGTGAAGTTGTTACATGTTTATTTATTCTTGATAAGTGAGTGCAAGACTCGGCATTAAACGTTTTCATTTTTTGGTGTTCAGTATTATTAATTTAAATTTATTTGAAGGTAAGTTATCTTAAATATTTTCTAGAAATGTTAAACATTTCTTATATTGCATTGTATTTTTCTAATCGTGGAATTTTACTGTTTAGTTTATTGTTTATTTAATTTTACAACATTGTGCATTTTTGTTTTGTCATAGAAAAATGGAAGGAAGAAAACAGCTCACAAATGAGGAACGCAAAATTGTTATACATATGCATAATGAAGGCAGTTCGTACCGAAAGATAGCAAAATTTTTTGCAAAAACCCCAGCTGCTATTTTCAAAATAATTGCTGCGTATAAGAAAGACGGACGAGTTTCTGTAGGACAAAGGTCTGGACGGCCGAAATGTACAACAATCCGTACAGACAAAAAAATTATAAATATGTCAATGGCATCACCATTTATGTCGGCACCAAAGATCCGAGCCCAATTAGTAGAAACAAATATAAATGTGCCGAGTACACAAACGATCAGAAGAGTATTGCATGCAGCAGAAAATCATGGGCGTGTTGCAAGAAAATTGCCCTATTTAAGCAAAACAAACTTGAAGAAGCGTATGCAATTTTACGAATCTCATATGTTGCAAACCGACGATTTTTGGAAAAGAATATTATGGACGGACGAATCCATGATTCGCATGAAATACAGTCATGGTAGGATGTACGTGTGGAGAAAACGAAACGAAGAATTTTCATACAATTGTATAAGACCTACACACAAAAGCATGAACGAGGGTATAATGGTTTGTGGGTGTTTTTCGGCTAGTGGCGTTGGGAAAATTATACCGCTAGCCGGAAAAGTGAATTCGAAAGTGTACCTGAAGCTATTACAAGACGTCATTATACCCGAAGGACAGCGCTTGATAGGAAATGATTTCATTTTACAGCAAGATAATGCCTCCATACACAAAGCAAAAATTGTCATGAATTATCTCAAAAATAATAATATAAATTTATTAGATTGGCCGCCACAAAGTCCGGATCTGTCACCAATAGAAAATATGTGAGCCATTCTCAAATTAAGAATAGCTGAGAAAAAGCCAAAAAGTATTAAAGAGTTACAGAATATTATAACTGCAACTTGGCAGGAATTTACTGCAGATGATTGTTTAAAATATGCTTTATCATTAAGAATAGCTGAGAAAAAGCCAAAAAGTATTAAAGAGTTACAGAATATTATAACTGCAACTTGGCAGGAATTTACTGCAGATGATTGTTTAAAATATGCTTTATCTGTACCAGGCAGAATTTGCAAAATGTCACAGAGACAAGGATATCATTGCGGGCATTAACCACAATATTTAAATGTTCTAACTTTGTAATTTTGTGTAGCAATAAAAAGTTATATTTATAACTTGTGTTAAAATTATAATTATTTTTGTCTTTTATATAATTCTTATTTATAATAATATAGTATTTGCGTAAATGTATAATTGTTACTATTATTTTTTATTTCTTGATATCTTGAATTATACTAGCATATTGTTTTATGTAAAATCTGTTATACGTTCGTTAAATTTAAGGTTAAATGAATGACTGATATCGTATTCTTCATTGCTTAACGCGAATATGCAGTCACAGCAGTGATACTCATCACAGACGGTCATTTTTTTTGTACGAGCGTTTT